GCGTGATGGCGTGATCTGATGTTGCGTGAGACCGCTTATTCTCAGTCGCTCAAGTGGGGTCGGAGGGTCGCGCCGCAGTGCCGATGCGTCGGCGGTGCGGCTCGACGTGGGGCGTCATTTTCTCCACGCCAGCGGCGCCGACGCATCGGCGATGTGGCACGATCCTCTGAACCCATGTGTTCGGACACCATTTTGGAGGCCTCCATGGGGCTCCTTAGTATATGAAGGGATCCCGCTGACGTTTCGTTGTTTGGGGTTCTTCGCCCTTAGTGTCAGCTTGTGGTTCACAAATGAAGGACCCCCCCCAGGGATAATGAATAGACCCCGCGGGTCGCGAAACCATGTTTTAAATCACGCGTGCCAGGGGGGTCGTCGCGGGCTTCGCCGAGGGGCTCGTGCGCACCCCCCCCTGCACGGCAGCCTTAAAACGATTGCCTGTCGTATAGAAGTTGCTATATGGGATCGTATACATTCGAGGCGAAGCGTTCCTCTTCTCAGGCTGATCATTGACGTGCCACAGTCGTCGTCGTCGCCGTCGCCGTCGTCGTCGCCGCCGCCGCCGCCGTCGTCGTCGTCGCCGTCGTCGTCGTCGCCGTCGTCGCCGTCGTCGTCGTCGACTACAGCGGGCATGCGCGTAAACCCCGCCCCCTTCCCCCTTGGACCATCCGCAAGACGTCGTCGTCCGCCATCGCCGTCGCCGTCACCCTCGCCGTTGCCGTCGCCGTCGTCGTCGTCGTCGCCGTAGGACACTGAAGTGGAAAAAGGAGACCGGAACGGGGGGGGAACGAGAAGGAGGAGCCCCTTTCGCCCGCCTCTGCCGCGCCCCCCCTCTTCTCTGTCTTGTTTGCAGCCATGTCGGCGCCGCCCGCCAGCTGAAGCGCCTGTTCCCCGCGCCTCCGCGTTCTCTGCTGTCTGTACAGTCGGGGCGCTGAAGAAGGAACCTTTCTCGTTTGGGAGGGGCTCCGTGTTCCTTAATTGTTTCACAGTTTGCCTTCTGTTTTCCGTAGGTTTTCGATGGGACATCGAAGTTTAACTCATGGAAAAAAGGGGCCTCGCTCCTAATTTAGGGTTTCTTAGGTCAACGCCCCGAGTGAAGCCATGTTGGCCCAGTTGCTCTGCAACAGCGGAGACCCTCCTGTCCCCCTTCGCTGAAGGGGCGCCGCTTGCGTCGCGCATGTCGCCCTCCTGTTGTCGGCCAGGCGTCGGCGACAACCACTGGCTCCGCCGCCGCCGTGTGTTTTTCGGACCGGACGAAAGGGGGGGATTGGGAAAGGGGGGGGTACGAAACTAGCTGCATGCAGCTGGTTTCGGCTCCACCGAGGGGCCCATCCCTCGATACATAAGCGCCTCCGGCGCCTGAAATCAGCTACGCGAGCTGATTCTCAAACCCCCCGCTTGCTATCCCCCCAGTTCATTCGGCGGGCGGCCCCCCCAGCGACTCGCCCGAGCGGGAAAACAATGTTTTAAATCACGTGCCGCGCCTGTTTTTGTGAATCACCAGATGAGATTGCCAGGGGCGGCGTCGTTGGGTTCGGGGTCCGAGGTTTTCTGGCATTTTCGGCGGGCCTGCTGTTATTCGTTAGGCGCGGAATGCGTTCCAGCGGTCGCGCCTCGCCGAGGGCGTCCTCGAGGGCGCCCGCATCGTCCCGCAGTGCCGCCGGGTGCCTGAGCTGCGTCCGTAAATCCAGGCCGCGGACAGTCACGGGCAACGTTTGGGGGGGTGGGCCCAAGGGCGGGCCATCGATTCCCAATCGCCCATTGATCGCCGACGTGTTACCCATAGAAGCCCCATCGCCCCAACCCGCCCAGGAGCTTGCGGGTGCGAGCTCGCCGTGGGCCAATCGCCGATGTCTCGGCGACGCATCGCCGTTTCCACGTCGATGTTTTTCCCCGTGTGACATGGCCCCCCCGAACGTTTCCCATCACCCCGAGGGTCGGAAAAGGGCCACCGGCCGCACCAGCATCGTTTGAGGCCCTTCGCCTGTTGGGCCCCATCCTTCATGGCCCCATGCATCAGTGCCCCATCCTTGAGCCGCCGAGAGGAGCTGTGCGGAGGCTCCGCCGCGGTGGTCCCGAGCGGCTGCTTGGGCAGGTGCTATCCATTTCTTACGTTGTCTATCCACACCGTTTTCTCTGTCTCTCTCTCTCTCTCTGTGCGCCGCCCCTGGCGCGCCCCGCGCGCCAGAACAGTGGAGTCAGCGCCGCCCCCAAAAGACTGCTGCAGCTGCGTCTTCTGCTATCGTCCCCCTCGTTCTGTTCGTTATCCTCGTTCTTTGCTCGGCGGTGAGCGAGGCAGGGGGGGAACCATGAAAAGGAAGAAAGCGGGAATTCTTAGAACCTTTCGCTCCTCCTGAGTTTCTTGGTGCGTTTTCGGAGGAAGCGTTGGACATTTTCAAAAGGCCGGGGGACTTCCGAGCCTTTTGGGGGGGCCCGCACCGTTTCATTTCCCCCCTCGCTCGCCGCAGGCTATTGTCCTCTTCGTTCTCTTCATTGTCCCTGTTCTCCTTGTGCCCGCCAGCTCGGTGCCGTTGCCCTGAGTACTCCTCGGTCGGATTTGTCGGGGGCGTCGCCCACGAAGTTGGTCCTCGTCCTCTTTTTGTGTGCCTGGGCGGATGCCTGGGCAGGCACTCGCCACGAAGAAAGACACCACCCACCAAACGACCCCAACCCAACCCGAAGGCTTCACTTTCCTCTCCATAGCCAGTGGGGGGGGGCGATCGGGGAACTTTAAAAAAACACATGGAGCCCGTACCCCCCCCCAAACCAGAAGTTCTGGTCAGTTCGGGTCTTTGGGCTGGGTTGCGGTGGTCTGGTAGGTACTCCAGATTTCGTAATAAAGGGAGGGGGGTCTGATTTCGGGGGCGGGTCTCTTCCAGGCTATCTTGGAGGGACTGGGGGGGTCTGGGGGCGATGTTTTGGAGGGTTCTCCCACGGGGGGGGGGGTCTAAAACTTTTCGTCTGGGAGGGTCCAGACCCCCTCCCTTTTATTACGAAATCTGGAGCAGTCAGACAGGAGGGATCCCGGTGGCACGGCGCTCTGGAGGTTCTCGTGCGTGCGTCGTTCGATTCATTCGTGGCTCCGCGAGAGGCTCCTCGTCGCCGAGGCGGGATCCCCTGATCTCTCGGGATTCTGGTCAGAACGCCCCCCGGGACGGTCGGAGGATGGACTCCGACCCCTCAGCCTGGATCGGGCCGGACGAAAGGGGGGGATTGGGAAAGGGGGGGGCACGAAATTTGCTGCATGCAGCTGGTTTCGGCCTCACCGAGGGGCCCATTCCTCGATACATGGGCGCCTCCCGGCGCCGGGAGGCGCCAGGAAAGTCAGCTGCGTGAGCTGATTCTCAAACCCCCCCTTTGCTATCCCCCCCTTTCGCCCGACCCGACTGGATCGAGACACGAAGAGCGGAGCAGTCGAGCGACGACGTAGGATGGCAGACGCGTCCTCTGCGAAATGTTATGTTGCTTCTCTGTCTTAATCTGTTTATGTGTGTGTCTCTCTCTCTCTCTCTCTCTCTCGCTCTCTGTGTTCCTCATCCGCCTACCACAATTATACAATCTGAGAACTTCTCTTACCTCTCCCCAGACACTCTCAGTGCGGGGGTCGTCTCTCCTGCGTATTGCTTGTGTCTTTTCTACGGGATGTGTTCGGGCCGTTCTCAGCCCTTCAGAATGAATGGCGTTCACGCCTAGGCGTTGTCCGCATTCCAGGATCGGGGCGCGGTTCCCGTCGTCGATCGGAAAGGAGCTCTAGCCGAAGCCCAGGCATCATTTATAGGTCCGAGTCCTTGTTCGTTGTTGCCGCCCGTCGCTTGTCCCCTCCACCTTCACTGGTCCTCCTGCTCATCCCGCTCCGTCTCTTGATGTCTCACATTCCTACTGCTCATCATTCTGCTCAGCCACCGCCTCCTTTCTCCATGTGCAAGGCCCCCACTCCTTCTGTTTCGCATCACACGGGGGGGGGGGTATCTTGGGGCGAAATGTCAGCGCAATGGGCCGGGATGGGTGGGCGGGGTACAACCGTCTTTTTCTGCTCATCCTTATCCTCCTCCTCCTCCTCCTTCTCCACCTCGTGATCATCATCATCATCATCATCATCATCATCATCATCATCATCATCATCATCATCATCATCATCATCATCATCATCATCATCATCATCATCATCGTCATCGTCATCATCAGCATCACCATCATCATCATCGTCGTCGTCGTCGTCGTCGTCGTCATCATTTTCCTGCTTTCGGCAGGTGCGGGAGCGGTCCCAACGTGGAGGTTGAGCAAAACGGATCGTCCAATATCCAGTGGCCTCCGGCCCATCCCTCCAGCGTGCCCTGGCGGGGCCTGAGTTCTCCCAGAGGGCTTCGACACACACTCCAGAAAAGCCCAGCGTAGTCTTCGAATTCGGGCGATTCGGGGAGCTGGGCTTTTTCGGAACTCATATTAATTCAAAGTTTCAACCTAATCAGTGGATGGTTTGAACATTCGCGATATGGATATTGAGATCGATTGTGACATCGATAGTTAGAACGATAGTGGGATCGACAGGAAGGACGATATGGTCGGTCGATCGTGAGACTGATTGTGAAGTCGATTATGTGTGATTGATAGTGAGATCGATTGTGAGATCGCTCGTGCGATCTGTATTGGGATCGATGTTGCGATCAATAGAGAGGTGGGTAGTGAGATCGATGGTGAGACCGATCGATAAGGAGATCGACCAAGAACCCGGGAAACCGGAAATCTCGCCGCCCACCGAAATCGGTTCGAAACCAGCAGCCGGGAACCCGGGAACCCGGATCTGGGAACCGGGGAACCCAGCCGCCTACCGAAATCGGCCCAGAACTCTCGCCAAATCTTTCGATCTCCGCTAGGACCCCTTCAATGCAAGCACTGATTGGGTAATTGTGCCTCTCACAACGGGAAAAGCCTTGGGGCGCTCCACGCATCTCGTGCCAAAGGCACGGTGGCGGATCTTGGAGGGCATAAGGACCTTCAAGAAGATGGAGAAGCTCGTCGAGCAGGTGGACGGTGTCGTGGTCTCCAGCCTGCAGAGGCAGCTGGGGAAGGCGAAGTGGGCAGCGCGTCGCGAGGAGGACGCCGAGGTGCGCAAACAGTTGATGGCGGAGGCATTCGAGGCGCTCGAGAAGGGCTCCGCCAACGGTGGCCTGGACGCCATCACCGCGCCGCAGCTGCGCTCGGAGCTGCTGGTGATGCGGTCACGCCAGCTGATCAAGAGCCAGCCAGAGGCGGCCCTCAGCGACGCCAGGGAGGCCCGCGAGCTGAAGCCCAGCTGGGGGCAGGCCAGGCTGGCGCTGTGTGGCGCGCTGGAGGCCGGCGGCCTGTTCACCGACGCCCTCGCCGAGCTGAAGGAGGCGCAGCGGCTGGGCGGGTCCGTGGACGCGGGGTCGCTCAGGCGGCAGATGATTCGGCTGGAGCGCAAGGCTGCCACCGAGGTCAGAGCGTCGCCGCCGACCGCGCCGAGGGAGGCTGCTGCCGCGCCGGAGGCGCCCGCCGCGCGGCCGGAGCCCTCTGCCGCGGGCGCGGCGACGCCCCCGGGCGCCGCTGCCGGTGCCGCCCCGCCTGCCGCGGCCCCGTGCGAGGAGCTGCCCGAGCTCCTCGAGTGGGAGATCGATGGCATCGCCAGGCTCAGCCACGACTGCATAGAGGTGCTGGGAATGCAACTCCGGGGAGGTTTCCAGGTCTGGATCGGCGCCGTTATTTTCGCTGTCGGTGGTCGGCTCCATTTGGGCCGATCCGGCCTGATGCGGTTCGATGCCGCTCAATCTGGCTCAATCCGGCTCGGTCCCCGATTTGATCCGGCCCGAAACGATGAAGTGGCACCTCAAGTGGGCTTAATCGCCGTGACTCCATCTAACGAAAGCCTCCCAGGAGTTGCCTCCGAAGAGGTGCGGCTGCACTGTCAGGATCAGGCGCTGCTCGCACGGCAGTGCGTGGATCACGCGCCGACGGACACCTGGCACGTGGACCTTCTAGCCGAGGGGGGTCAGCTGCAGGAGCAGGTCCGTCGGTCCTACACGCCTGTGAGCACCGGGAAGGACTACATCGACGGAACGTTGGTGTTGATGCTGAAAGTCTACCCTAAGGGTAAGATGAGCAGGCATTTGGCCTCATTGAGACCTGCTTCGACCGTGCTGGTGTCCGCCCCACATCCGACAATCGACGTAGAGCCTTTCTCGAAGGGGATGCTCATGATAGCTGGCGGGAGCGCTGTGACCGTCGGGATCCAAGTCTGCGTGGCTGTGCTGAGACTCCTCGACAAGCAGCCAAGCCCGGGGCCCTGCGTGCTGGTCCTCTCGGCGGCGAGCGAGGGGGGGCAGTGAGAAGGAGAAGGCCTTCTGAGAGGGCTCGGAAGTCCCCCAGCCTTCCGAGGAGTTTCGGGAGCCGTCCCCGAAGGCACTGAAAACTTGTCAGGAGGCGCGATGGCTTCTGAGAAGTCCTCCGGACGTCATCAGGGGAGAGAGGAGAGTAGTATTCATATTGTGTATTTGTGGAGGGGGAGGGGAGGGGGAGGGGGGGAGGGCAGGGAGGGAGGGAGGGCAGGAGGTCGGGCGGGAGGGCGGGAGGCAGGGATCGAGGGATCGAGGGGCCTCCTGCTTCTCATTCCCCCCCCTCGCTTGCCGCCGGTCCTCTGCAACCACACCGCGGCGGACGTGCTCTACCAGGAGCGCCTCGAGGAGCTCATGCGCTGCTCCCCGGCCTTCCGCGTGGTGCACTGCCTGTCGGCCGGCGGCGCGCCCGCCGGGCCCAGCCGCGCCACCTGGCGCTCGGGGCTCATCGGGTGGGACGCGGTGGGCGGTGCTCGGGGCAGTGGTGGGCTCGTTTTCCACCGCCACCACCAGAAGGTGGAGGGGGGAAGGAGGTGGAGGTTGAGGAGGAGGAGGACGAAGAGGAGGAGGAGGAGGAGGAGGAGGAGGACGGAGGAGGAGGAGGAGGAGGGAGGAGGAGGAGGAGGAGGGAGGAGGAGGAGGAGGAGGAGGAGGAGGACCCCCTCCCCCTCCTACTTCTGGTGGCGGCGGTGGAAAACAAGCCCACCAGGCAGGGCGAGTTCAGACAACAACGGCTCAAGATCGGTCCCTGTCGGACGGGGCTGGGACGAGGATAAGAATCCTTTCCAGAGCGTTCTGGCACGCTCTCAGAGCGTTCCAGAACGCTCTGGGACGGTCGCGGCGCCCAAGACGTCCTCCAGAGTCGCCGGATCTCAGAGATTCTCGAGTTATCCACACCCTATGTTATCTTCGTCCTGGCGACCCCTTCTGTCGGCGGCGAGCGAGGGGGGCAATGATAATGAGAAGGCCTTCTCAGTGGGCGGCGGGACTTCTCAGAAGCCCACGCGCCTTCTGAGAGGTGTTCGGTGTCTTCGGGGAAGGCTCACATATTTCCTCAGAGGGCCAGGGCACTTCTGAGCCTTCTGAGAAGGCCGTTTTCTGATTATTATTCCTCTTCTTCTTCTTCTTTTTCTTATTCCTCTTCTTCTTCTTCTTCCTCTTCTTCTTCCTCTTCTCCTCAATTTCCACCCTGGGCGCGCCGCCGGAGTGCAGGCACAACGGCGGCTCGACGGCGGCCCCAGGGGTCCCTTCCGGGGCCCCGGCGCACCCGTTTTCCGAGCTGCGCCTGTAGCCGTGGCGACGACGGGGGGCGCCCGGAGGCCAATGGCTCGGCATCGCTCGGACGTGTGCACTCTTCTTTCGGCGAGGACCCTCGAGGAGCATCCTTGATCGTTGGGCGAAAAAAGCCACGCACGAAACCGAAAAAAACACAGGGAATGCACGTCCGAGCGATGGCGAGATTGCCGTTGCCGCATCGGGGCTCAAGAGGCGGGGGATCGCTGCAGACGGGTGTCCGTCAGAGCGCCGGGCCTTTTGCAGGATGCTGCAGAGCCAGGGGCGCACCGACCTGGGGCTTGGGTGCAGGATCCTGCAGGATCTTGCAAGGCCCGACTGACCTGGGTGTGCCAGGCCGGACGAAAAGGAGGGGATAGGGAAAGGGGGGGTACGAAATCTGCTGCATGCAGCTGGTTTCGGCCCTACCGAGGGGCCCATTCCTGGATACATGGCCGCCTCCCGGCGCCGGGAGGCGCCGGGAGATTTAAATCAGCCACGTGAGCTGCTTCTCACCCCCCCCCTTTGCTATCCCCCCCTTTCGCCCGGCCCGAGCTTGGGCTGACCCGGGCCAGCAGATCCCCGACCTCAGCTCGCCGCTCCTCCGAGGTGCGCTGGCCGGGGAGCGGCCGAGGGCAGTGCTCAGCGGACCGCGGGGCCTGTTGCGGGCCTCCCTGGACATGCTCGTCGGCCAGGGCTGGGGCAGGCCGTGGGCGAAGCGCACACTCGTGTCCATGTCCGCGGCCTCGCGGGCGGGGCCGGGCCTCTTGGCCGCGACCCCGGGGGGCACGGGGCGTTTTTTCTCGGGGACGACCTGCGCGGGACTCACCCGCGCGACCGCGCATCGGGGGGATCGCGCCCCAAAGCCCCGAGATCCGACGTGGCGACAAAATGCAACATCGCGAACACTTGCAACCAGAGTTTCAGACCTCCTGTCATCTTTCGAGCCGGTTCGATCTGTCAAGATCCCAGGGCCCGACACCGAGCGAGCATGGCCGCCGTGAGCAACGCAGCAACGTCCAGATCTCGGGGAGTCCAGACCGCGAGGCGTGGATCTGGCGGCGTTCGCTGCTCGCGTCGGGTGTTGCCAGAATGGTCCCTGGCCCAAGGCGCCCCCGGGAGTTCCAGGGAGGCCCTCGCGGCCTCTTAGAGCACCCCTCGCGAGGCCCCGAGGGCCCAGGGGGTTTCGAAACCGAGCGAAGAGCTGGGGGCACTGTTGGGCCGGGGGCACTTCTGGCGACCCCCGACCCGGTGCGCGGATTTGGGTGCTCAGGGGGGGCCTGCGGGCCCAGACCACCGCACAGTCAGGGGAAGGTCGCCCCCACGTCTAGCCGACGACAGGGCGGGCGCCGCGGAGGCCCCGGCGACCGCTGGCGAGGTGGCGTTCGCCGGCGCCGCCGCCGCGGCCGTCGTCGCCGCGGCCGTTGCCACCGCCGCCTCCGCCGCCGCCCTCGTCGTCGCCTTCTGTCCGAGGCCCTACACGTGCCTCCACCGCCGCCGCCCTCGTCGTCGCCTTCTGTCCGCGGCCGTCGCCACCGCCGCCTCCACCGCCGCCCTCCGCCGCCGCCTCCGCCCCCGCACGTGGAACCCTACCCCCTGCAGGTCCGGTTTCTGAAGCGCCGGCGGGGGCAGGGCATTCGAGCTGCGGGGGGGGGCCCCCGACTGCGTGGGCATAGGAGCACCTTTAGCAACCCCCGACTCGTGTTAAGTCGGGCCTGTCCCCCTACAGGGGGATTTTCGAGGAAAAATAAGAAATGCTTTGATAATAATCAAAATCTAATCCCAAACTAGTCTTGGGAGTATTTTTTGAGTATTTTCTTACCTTTTTGGAGCATTTTGGGGGTCTTTTTTATCTTTCGTCGAAAATCCCCCTGTATGTGGGGGACACGCCCGACCTAAGACCCGTGGGCAGGGACCGGGTGCGGGTCCTGGACGACCTGCCGGAGGAGGCGCTGGGCGGCGGGGAGGCCCTGGGCCTCCCGCAGGTTCCCGACAGAGGCGGCGTGCGGAGGCGCGCAGGGCCCGGCGAGGAGGACCCGGGGGGCGGCAGCCCACCCTGACTCCGGGTCCGCCACACTTCGGGGGTGGACAGACCTCCTGCCCTGACACGTCGATTGAGGAATTGGCCGTTTTCGGTTCGCGAGAGGGCGTCGCGGCCGTCATTTTTGCGGGTCCAGGTCCGTCGGTTTCGGTCCCAGGCCGTTTTCACTAAGGCGAGGTCTTTTGAAGGGAGGTTTGTCCACCGCCGAATACTTTGGGGAAATTCGTAAGTAGGGCTTGGAATTTCCGCCTCACTTTTCAAGCCCCGCGGATGCCAAGTTCCGCCCTCTTTTTCTGCTGCTGTTTCCGCCCTACTTCTGTGGATCTCCGCCCTACTTTATGCTGGGTGCAGGAATTCCCGCCCTACTTGTTCGGCTTCTTATAGGTGGATTTCTGACGCAATTTTCAGTTGGGAAAAAAGCCAAAGTAGAGCGGATCTGGAGTCCGGGTAGACTCTTTTGGAGCAGTCGGCCACGCGCAAACGGCGGCTTGAGTTTGAGGGAAACGGGGGGCTTCTTAGAAACTCCCCTCTACGAAACACCTCCCTTAGCAGAAGGCGCGGGCGCCCCTTCTGAAAAAACTCCTGTTTGCTTCCTGGAAGGTGCTCCTGGCGTCGTGTCGCGAGGAATGTTTGAAACTTGCTGGTGTTTGATGAACGAGCGCACGTGCATATTTGACAGGGGTGAGTCGGAAAGGGGCTAGTTTTGGGAAGGTATGAGTTCACTGCTAGAATAAACGCTTGGGCATAATCATATGCAAATAGCATTATTACACTTGGTGGCGATAGTTTCCGTGGCGGCCATGACTTTTTTAAAACAATGATTTATATGTAACCAAAAAGGAAGGACATGGGGCCTTGTTTGGTGCATCACATGTGGTGCATTCTATTAAATCCCATCCATGTATGAATATGTTACAATCTTTGTGGTGTGCTCTATGTGACGTGACATATGCTGTGCATTGCGCGCGGTGTGCGCTACGTGATGCGCGCTAAATGGCGCAGTATACGCGGTGCAATCTACGCGGTACAGTGTACTGTTGTTCGTTTTGGGGTGCAAGCCCCGCTCATCGCGCAATCCTCCCATTCGCCCGCCCGCAACGCGGTTTGTAAAGCCCATGCGGCGGCGATTGCGATGAGTGCTTTGCGCTGACCGGCGCACCGCTGCGGCCGCGCCTGCGCGCGCAGGCTGGTGCGCAGAGCGGCGAGGTAGTCAGGCGCGATCGACGCGGCCGCGGCGTCGCTGACCGCTGGGCCGCGCACGCGCGCGGGCACTTCAACGCGAGTCGGTGAATCGAGCGGGAGAGGCATCATGGCGACGTCGGCGACGGCAGACGCGATGGTAGTAGTTGCCAGGCCGATGGCCATGATGACGATGGCGACGGCGAGGCCAACGACGGCGCCGACGTTGGTCACACCGACGACGGCGATGACGCCACGGCGTCGACGATGATGGTTTTGGATGGATTTCCACGCGCCCGCGGCCGACGCGCGCGAGTGGCACGCATGGTATCATTTGACGACAGGGGCCCCCCTCGCCCCCCCCCCCCCCCCCCTGCAAGCGCGCAAAGGTGTTCGAATGATTTTGGCACTCGCGCGCGAGAGGCCCGCTCGGCTGCATGCGAAAATATTTCAGAAGCCGTGGCTTCCGCAGTCGCAGAAGTTGCCGTCGTGCGCGGATGTCCTTGAAATGCCGCGCCGCAAACGCATTGTTTGGTATGTCATTTTCGGGGAGCTCGGCTCGCGACTCGGCGAAGCGCTGTTTTGTTTTGTTGATTTTTTCTAAGGAAAAAAGGGTTCGGCATGGGCGCGCGGCGCCGCGAGCGCGTGGACTTTGTTTCGCTTGCGTCAGAGATTCAGGTGGATTTCGCGTTCTTGGTAAAAGCGGGCGCGCGCGTCGCATCGCATGGAAGGGATGAGAAGGGGGGCGGGGGGGCGGGCGGCGCCGGGCTTCCTCGGGGTTGCGCGAGGTCATGTTGATAATGGGCGATGGGGCAAAAACGCATTGAGATTACATATCCGAGGGGAAGGCGAGGGCCCTGAAGGCGGAAAGGTGGTGGATTACTTTCTTGAAAACATGCGGTGCAGCACGCGGTGCGCATCGCCCTGCGGGTCTTGAAGCAGCCAGCCCCGCTGCTCGCGCAGTCGTTCTGGTTTGAACGGCCCAGTTGGCGGCGACTGCAACGACTGCTTGGCGCTGGCGCGTCGCCGCGGCTTCGCAACCGCGCGCCTGCGCGCGCGAAGCGGCCAGCTAATTAGTATATGGCGCGACCGAGGGCAACGGTGGCGCTGACTTGCGATGATTTTTGCAGCGCGTCTCGCAGGCCGCGCTGACGCGCGGGCACTTCGACGCGAGCCGGTGCACTTCGATGATTTTGTGTCATTTCGAGCAGGGGGGCCATTGAAATGGCGGGCTCGCGATCAACGAAGGCGCGCGCATAGCGGCATTGGAAGGGGGCGGGGCGGGGGGGGGGCGACGAGGGCCCGCCCTTCGATGGCGCGAATGCAGGTTGAGAACGAACGACGGGGCAAACACATGCGCATGATGTAGCACCCCGCGGGGGAGGGGTCAGCCCAAGGATGGGGGGCGCTAGATCCGCATTGATTGCAGACGTGAGAATTCAATATGTGAGACGCGAAGTTGCCGGCTCCACTGCGCGCGGAATCGCCGCGCCTGGCCATTCGCATCTTGGCTCGCAAAACCGGAGTTGGCGCGGCCGACGCGGCCTCGGTGGCTCTGGCCAGTGGGGACGTCCCAGCACGTCACGCTGGCCGCGCTGCCGCGGGCTCCCCAGTGCGAGTCGGTGGCTCGGGCGGGCGCGGTACCATGGCGGCGTAAACAAACGCAGGCATGCTGGTGATAATAACCGTGATGGTGACGAGGATAGCGATGACGACGGCAAGAGCAGTGGCGGTGCCGATGCTGTTAATACGTACCGATGGTTATGCTGATGTCCGCGTGTCTGTGACGACGGTCTTGGGGGGTTTTCGGCATGCGCGCGCGGACGACGATGGCGAAACGCTTGCATAGTTACCTAACATCGAAGACTGATAGGTTTCTTACCTAACATCGAAGACTGATAGGTTTCTAATAGTCTAAAAAGAGAGCAGCACATTACTCCACAGGGGGGTCTGGGCAGCCGTTGGGGAGCCGTTGGGGGGCCGTTGGGGGGGCCGTTGGGGATTCCCGCGGGGGATCCGCGGAACTTCGTTTTTCGCATACAGTCACACACTTCGTGCTTTTCGACCTCCCAGAACTCCATTCCCGGGCCACATTCTGAATAACCAGAGCCAGCTGTAGGCCACTTCGTGCTCTTCGACTTCCCAGAACTCCACTCCCGGGTCACATTTTGGATGCCCGGAGCCAACTGTAGGCCACTTCGTGTTCTTCGACTTCCCAGAACTCCATTCCCGGGTACATTTTGGATGCCCGGAGCCAACTGTATGCCACTTCGTGCTCTTCGAGTTCCCAGAACTCCATTCCTGGGCATGATTTTGAATGCCCGGAGCCAACTGTAGGCCACTTCGTGGTCTTCGAGTTCCTAGAACTCCATTCCTGGGCATGATTTTGAATGCCCGGAGCCAACTGTAGGCCACTTCGTGTTCTTCGAGTTCCCAGAATTCCATTCCCGGGCCACATTTTGAATGCTGAGACAGGCTGAGGCTGAGGCTGAAGCAGGCTGAGGCTGAGGAGGCAGGCTGAGGCTGAGGCTGAAGCAGACTGAGGTGAGGCTGAGGCTGAGGCTGAGGCTGAGCTGCAGGCTGAGGCTGAGGCAGGCTGATGCTGAGGCAGGCTGAGGCTGAGGCTGAGGCTGATGCAGGCTGAGGCTGAGGCAGGCTGAGGCTGAGGCTGAGGCTGAAGGCAGACTGAGGCTTGGCTGGCTGAAGGCTGAGGCTGAGGCTGAGGCTGAGGCTGAGGCTGAGGCTACTGTGACTGTTACTGCTGCTGCATGCCTCCAGCTATGCTTCTACATATCGATGTTAGGTTGCTTTGCCGGGATAATAATAGTTTAAAAAGAGAGCAGCACATTACTCCACAGGGGGGTCTGGGCAGCCGTTGGGGAGCCGTTGGGGGGCCGTTGGGGGGGCCGTTGGGGATTCCCGGGGGGGATCCGCGGAACCTCGTTTTTCGCATACAGTCACACACTTCGTGCTTTTCGACCTCCCAGAACTCCATTCCCGGGCCACATTCTGAATGCCCGGAGCCAACTGTAGGCCACTTCGTGCTCTTCGACTTCCCAGAACTCCATTCCCGGGCCACATTTTGGATGCCCGGAGCCAACTGTAGGCCACTTCGTGCTCTTCGACTTCCCAGAACTCCATTCCCGGGCCACATTTTGGATGCCCGGAGCCAACTGTAGGCCACTTCGTGCTCTTCGAGTTCCCAGAACTCCATTCCCGGGCATGATTTTGAATGCCCGGAGCCAACTGTAGGCCACTTCGTGGTCTTCGAGTTCCCAGAACTTCATTCCTGGGCATGATTTTGAATGCCCGGAGCCAACTGTAGGCCACTTCGTGTTCTTCGAGTTCCCAGAACTCCATTCCCGGGCCACATTTTGAATGCTGAGGCAGGCTGATGCTGAGGCTGAGGCAGGCTGAGGCTGAGGCAGGCTGAGGCTGAGGCCGAGGCTGAAGGCAGACTGAGGCTGAGGCTGAAGCAGGCTGAGGCTGAGGCTGAGGCAGGCTGAGGCTGAGGCTGAGGCAGGCTGATGCTGAGGCAGGCTGAGGCTGAGGCTGAGGCTGATGCAGGCTGAGGCTGAGGCAGGCTGAGGCTGAGGCTGAGGCTGAAGGCAGACTGAGGCTTTGGCTGAAGCAGGCTGAGGCTGAGGCTGAGGCTGAGGCTACTGTGACTGTTACTCCTGCTGCATGCCTCCAGCTATGCTTCTACATATCGATGTTAGGTTGCTTTGCCGGGATAATGTTTTTTTGACCAGGATCGTGCCCCCCCCACCCACTCACACACAGCAGGCGCACGAAGGCGTTCGAATGATTCCAGCTCGCGCGTGCGACGGGGCGCGCATGGTCGCATCTGATGGGCACGTTGGAAAATCGTATGGGTTTCATAAGAAGTCACCAGAGCGCGCGCGCAAGTTTTGAAATTCAGGTCGCGCAAACATTGGTTTCCCCCAGCCATCCTGTGATGAGTTGGGTCTACGCTTTGAATCAGCAGAGCCCCGCGTCCTTGCATCCTCCTCCGCCTCCTTTTCCTCCTCCTTCCTTCCCCTCCTCCCATCCGTGTTTCTGCATTCCACACTTCCACGTCGCCATCATCATCACATTGGGCACTCCATTCTTGTTTCAGCCCTCCCATGTCCATGTCGGCACCCCGTCACACGTTTCGTGGCCCCACAGGGAATCCAACTAAAAGCCTCTTGTTGCATGTCCACACGGCGGCGGTGCCTCATTTCAATTCTTCACGCTTCGCGTATCCCCACCAGCCCATCTCAAAACAGCAACTCTTGCGAAACATGCCGACAGTCGTGTTTTTCAGGCGTGTTTCCGCCTGCCCCCGCATATCTCCGGGCCTCTCGTCCTGGTGTAAGTCGTTCGGGCCCTTCTTCCTGGTGTGAGTCGTTCGGGCTCTTCGTGGTGTGAGTCGTTCGGGCTCTTCGTCCTCGTGTGAGTCGTTCGGGCTTCTCGTGGTGTGAGTTGTTCGGGCCCCTCGTCCTGGTGTGAGTCGTTCGGGCCCCTCCTCCTGGTGTGACTCGTTCGGGCTCCTCGTGGTGTGAGTCGTTCGGGGCCCTCGTCGTGGTGTGAGTCGTTCGGGCTCCTCGTGGTGTGAGTCGTTGGGCGCCTCGTCCTGGTGTGAGTCGTTCGGGCCCCTCCTTCTGGTGTGAGTCGTTCGGGGTCTTCGTGGTGTGAGTCGTTCGGGCCCCTCGTCCTGGTGTGAGTCGTTCGGGCTCCTCGTGGGGCCTCTTGGAGCCTCTTGGGGCCTCTTGGGGGCCTCTTGGGGGGCCTCTTGGGGGCCTCTTGGGGGCCTCTTGGGGCCTCTTGGGGCCTCTTGGGGGCCTCTTGGGGGCCTCTTGGGGGCCTCTTGGGGCCTCTTGGGGGCCTCTTGGGGGCCTCTTGGAGGCATCTTGGGAAGCTCCTGGGGGCCTCTTGGGGCTATCTTGGGGCCTCTTGCGACCTCCGCAGAAGCGCAAAGGAGCGCGGCCCCCTGAAAAGGACAAACTGAGCCCAAAACCTTTGTTCAATCAGCGATTTTGCTATGCAGGAAGAGAAGCGCGGCCCCCTCAGGAGGCCAAAATGGGGTCACAACCGTAGTGAAATCAATGATTTTGGCTTCAAAGAAGCGCAGAGGGGCCAAACTGTGCCCCCCCGTCGGGGCCAGAATCCTCGTGAGGGTCGTCGTTTTTTGGCCCTCCCAGGAGTCGGAAAAGACCCCTCCAACGACCCGCGGGACCCCCTCTCCAGGTCCAGGGGGAGGGGGTAGGGGGAGGGGTAAACCCCTCCCCGAAGGGGAAGAAGGGGGTTGGGGGATTGAGAACAGAGAAAGCTCGCTAAACCACTCACGCCCATAGGGCTGGTGGGATTCGCACCACTCGCGCGCTTTGTGGCCCCATGCGGAGCTCCAGCTAAGGGCCAAATGCCAGGGTCCGCATGACGGCGGTGCCTCATTTCGGCACGCCCGTCAAACGTTCCGTGACCCAATAGGAAGCTCCAACGAATGCGCACATTCAAGAGTCCTCATGGTGGCGGTGCCTCATCTGGGCACACCCCTCACACGCAGGGAGCCGCGGCGAAGGCCCAATTGCCAGGGTCCGCATGGCGGCTCTGCCCCATTTCTGAGCACCCCTCACACGTTTCGGGGCCCCATTGGGAACTCCAGCGCAGGCCCACATGCAAGGGTCCGCATGGCGTCGGCGCCCTTCTTTTGGTACACCACCCACGCGTTTCGTGACCCTGGGACTCCTTCGAAGGCCACAATGGCAATGTCCACATGCGGCCATCCCACGAATTTCGGCACACCCCTCACCCAGTTCATGACCCCATAGGGGGCACCACCGAAGGCCCTAGGAGCGGTGTACACATGCGGCCGTCCCACCCATTCCGGCACCCCTCACACGTCTCGTGGTCCAAAGGAAGCTCCACCGAAGGCCCCAGGGGCGGTGTTGTACATGTGCGGCCGCCCCACTTGTTTCGGCACCCCCCTCGCACGCTTCGTAACTCCATAGGAGGTTCCACCGAAGGCGACACTCGCAGCGACGGCGTTCGCAACTTCATATTATTGGGCCCTTCGCCAGGATACTCATATGTGTTCGAACACCTCGATTTGGAAATCCGTACGAAACCACAGGTGTTTGGATAATTGTTGCATGCGGCCGCGACGCCGCGCGCGTGTGGACTTCGTGTCGTTTTTGCTGCAAGGGACTGGTGGACACTGAGGACCTGTGATAAACGAGTGCACGCATAGTATTATTTGATTTGGGTGAGGGGGATGAGGCGATACGGGGTCTCCTTATGATGTTATAAAATCATGTTCAAGATGAACGCTGGGGTATAATCATATGCAAATATTACAATCCCAGGGAGGGCTGATACACCCGTGGGGGGGATCCGAATGTCTTTCTTAAACAGGAGCATACATGTATTGTGAACTAGATGGTGACTGCTATGTGATACACACGATGTGTGTGGTATGAGCCATGATGAGCGAGTTTTGCGGTGTAAGCAATATGGTGCATTATGTGAGGTATGAGCTATGTGGAACAATCTGCGCGGTGAAAAAGATGTGGTGCGAAGCGAGTAATATAAGCTATGTTGTGCGCAATATATGGTGCAATCTTTGTGGTGCAATCTATGTAGTGTATGCTATGTGGTGCAAGCAGCGGCGACGGACGGCAGTGACGGAGGCGACGGCGACAAGCGCGGAGACCGACAGCCCAGCGCAGAAGCAGCGCCGACGGACGGCCGCGACGGGCGGCGATGGAGACAACACGCCTGACGGACCGACAGCCCGGCTCAGTTCCTCAGAACGCAAGTAAGAACCCCTAAATGCAAGCCTTTGTTTGGTGAAAAATGCTGGTCTCTGGGATCTGACCACCTCACCGGTTCTGTCCTGGCCGTTCCTGGGCCCTGGCTCGGTGCTTCTCCCTTCCTGGTCAAGCCAGGAGTCTAGGCCCCCTGAGTGGGGTCGGAGTAGATGGGGTCGGAGGATCGTGCCGCATCGTCGATGCATCGGCGATGCATCGGCGATGCGGCTCGATGTGGAGCCCAACGTTCTCCATGCCGACGTCGCCGATGCATCGCCGATGCATCGCCGATGCATCGCGAATGTCTGGGCGATGCGGTGCGGTCCTCCGACCCCACCTGCTCGGACCCCATCTTGGAGGCCTCTGCAGGGAGAGGGCGCACACCTGCGCGGGTCCCTGTCAGAAGCCTGGCAAGGGCTGCTAAATCCGTGGCTGCTAGAATCGACCTCCGGGAAGTTGCCTTCGTCCTTCCGGGAAGCAGCCCGTTCACTGTTTCGCGTGCCGCGCCTCGTTCCGGGAGGTTGTGCTTTTTTCCTTTCCGGGAGGGCCGTTTCAGCAGCCACGGTTTCAGCAGCCCTCGCCCAGCTTTCGACCCTGGGCCCAGGCGGGGCGCGGCCGGGGTCGGTGGGGTGGTCCGCCGGCGCCCTGCCGGCCGCGAGGAGGAGGCGCAGCCGGGCCACTTCCCCGCGGACGGCGAGCGGCCGCCGAGGGCCGAGCTCCTGGCGGGGGCGCTGCTGGCCGGGCCGGGCAGGGCGCTCTGGGGCGCCCTCGGCTCCGTGCTCCTCTGCGCGCCCGTCTGCCGGCGGCGCTGCGGCGGGAAGAGCCTGGAGGACGGGGAGAGCGACGGCGAGTGCGGTGCCGCTCGGCTCGTCTGAGCTCGGCGTAGGAGAGGCAGGGGAGCGAAGAATGACCTAAACATAAAAACTCGGCGCTGGGGCCCCCCTGGCGGCGCCTCCAGGGCCGCCCCTGGCGCGCTCCGCGCGCCAGGGAGGGGGGTCCAGCGCCGATCCGAGAAATCCGCGCGGACCTCCGAGTTTTTATGTTTATGGCATTCTTCGTTCCCCTAAGAGGTCACCACCTACCAAACCACCCCAACCCAACCCGAGGGCCCGAATTTGCCCTCCATTTCCAGTGGGAGGGGTCGGGGAACATCGAGAAAACACATATGAAGCCCGAACCTCCCCCAACCCGAAATTCGGGTCTTCGAGTTGGGTTGGGGTGGTCTGGTAGGTAGTCAAGAGGTTGCCCATAGCGCCACCCCTCCTCCGTTCTCGCCTCTCCCGGGCCTCCCGGGAGGCTCTCTCGTCGCCGCCGCCAGATGCGCCTCGACGTCCGGGTCAGAGTGCGCCCTGGGGAGAGGCTGGGGGGGGGCAGGGGTTATCGTTATGTCGGGCGTGTCCCCCTACAAGGGGATTGTCGACGAAACATAAAAATACCCCCAACATGCGCCAAAAAGCTCAAGAAATGCTCACAAAATAGTCCCCAGATTATTTTTGGATTATTTTTGGAACATTTTTGGAGTATTTTTTATTTGTCGTCCAAAACCCCCCTGTAGGGGGACAGGCCCGACCTAAGGTTATCGGTGCCTTTTGGTTTCCCCATGCGAGTGCGATGCCGCTCGGCTCGTTCGAGCCCTTGTTTCCGCGCAGCTGGTGCGGCACGGCCGCGTTGGACCGGCGGGATCCAGAGCTGCGCCGCGCGGAAAACTCAAGCGGGTCGCGCCATCCCGTTTTGTCTCACCTTGCTTGTCCGATCCTTCGCGGTGTGCATTCACCATTGAGCTGTGGGTTTATCCTCTTGCTCATCGCCATTAACCGAAAACGGGCGATGATAGCCCCCCTGGGATAATAAGATTCGCGGTCCCCGCGGGGATAATAACGGATTTTCCCGGGGAATGTAAGTTATGATGATGATGATGATGATGATGATGATGATGATGATGATGATGATGATGATGATGATGATGATGCTGCTGCTGCTGCTGGTGACGACGATGATGTTGATGGTGATCTTGGGCGCCCCGCACAAGGTTAACACGAGAGATCTTTTTGCCAGCAGGCGCGCGGCACAAGGCTGACTCGAGAGATCTCGAGGCTCTCGGCTGTACAACTTGCCAGCAGGCGTGGATTGATTGTAATATGGTGATGATGATGATGCTGACGACGATGGAGGAGGAGGAGGAGGAGGAGGAGGAGGAGGAGGAGTTTAAACCAGGCGCACGACAGAAGCCTGACTCGCACGATCTCTTGGCTCGTGGCTACTTGTCCGCAGAGGCGCACTACACAGAGATTACTCGAGAGATCTCGAGGCTCGTGGCTACTTGCCCGCAGAGGCGCAGAACACAAGGCTGACTCGAGCGATCTCGAGACTCGTGGCTGGGAGCCTAGATTGTGCCAGCGCAAAAGAGGTCTCTGGCTGATCTGGCCAAGAAACCCCTCTTGCGCTGGACTTCGAACCACTCTCCCATGCAAGCACGGCATCCTTTGGAACCGTCCTTGCATGGGAAACACTTTGTGCAAAGCTGGGCCGCGGCGCTAGCCTCCTCGTAGGTGGCGTACTTCGGCTCGGCCGCCGTGGGGTCCTTGCAAGGGTTGGACTTGTGCTTGGCCTTGGCCTTGGCTTTGGCCTTGGCCATCGCCACGTCGTTGTCGCTCGCCTCCTTGCATTTACTGATGAACTCGTTCTCTCGAACGACCACAGCGTGGAGAGATGCTGGCATTTGGCGGCCTCGCCTCGGATCTCGCGCAAGGCACGCTCGATCCGGCGACTTGCCCAGAGGCCGCAGCTCCAACCGTCTACTTGGTACCGTCTGTTGCTCGGTGCTGGGCAATGCTCGCCAGGGCCAATGGCACCGAGCTTGCGGAGGATCCTCGTGGCGGCCTTGGGAGGCCACGTGCGACCCCAAACCACGGCTTCCGAGGAGGAGGAGGAGGAGGAGGAGGGCGGGGTACTTTTCGCTCGGCAATTCCCGAGCAAAGTGAACCCCACCTTCCCCGTCAGAAATCGTGAGGTGTAGGCGTGAGTTCGCATGTGGCCCTTTTGGGCCTGCTTGGCGTTCTCGGACGGCTGCTCGAGGGCGTCGCGATAGTCCACCTCGACGCCGCCCCCGTCGATCCTCGAGACCGGGCGGGAATTGCCGCAAGTGCCCCCTGCCCAGGGCGCCTCCAGGATTCGTTCCAGACCGGAGCGAAACGCTGGAGGCACCTTGGGATGGGGGGGCATTGCAGCAACCGCCGACCTTGAGGTACGTGTAGTGCGCGGGCGCCTCGGAACGCACGCAGAACAGCACGTGTTGGGCCTTGTCGACTCTCTCGGCCCAGCGTTTCTGCTCCTCGGCGGCGGGTGCGTCCTCGCCCTGGCCCTCTCGAGCCCAGGCGGCGGCCGCCGTGGTCTCGACCACCAGCGCGTTGTCGGGGACGCCCGCTCGCTCCTCGATCTCGCCCAGCAGCGCGTGCGCCGTGCCCCGCTCGAGGGTGTCGCCCTTGACGATCTGCTCGCAGTGCGCGATCGCGTACTCCTTGGCGAGCGCGGCGCGGCGAGCGTGCCTTGTCTGGAGCCAGTCGAGCTTCTGCGGCTTGGGGAACTCGTAGTCCTGCTCGATCGTGACCTGTGGCGCTCGGGTTTCGCAGGCGCTCGTTAGCTTCCGCCTGCTTCCGCTTTCCTTCCGCCCGCTTCCGCTTCGCGTTGCTTCCGCCTGCTTCCGCCTGCTTCCGCGCTTCGCGTTGCTTCCGCCTGCTTGCGCTTTCCTTCCTTTTCCTGCCTGCCAACTTCCGCTTGTTTCCGCCGCCCCAGGCAGACGCAGGCGGAAGCTGACGCGTGCCTGTGACCCTCGAATCGGCGGCGGGCGCGGGGGGGAAATGAGAAGGGGCGGGGCTTCCGAGGCTTCTGAGAAGTTTCTGGACTTCTGAGAGGGCTTCTGAGAAGTCCTGTCTGTATTCGAAATAGGCCAAGGAAACGTCTCAGAAGCCCCCCGGACTTCTAAGAAGTCCCGCGGCCTTCTGAGAAGGCCTTCTCCTTCTCATTTCCCCCCTGGGCTCGTCGCCTATCGAAGCCTCTCTGCTGTTGATCTGGAAGATCGCCGCGGTCTCCACCTCGAGGGCGCGCAGGCCGTGCTCGCTCTCGGTGCCCAGGCCTCGCCAGACGCCGTGCGCTCTGCCGCGCCTGCCCTCGCGGTTGCCCTCCTCGGCGACGCGCGCCACCTTGCCGTGCCGGGGGGGGGGGGGGCCTCGCAAGCCTCGAGGCCGCCTTTCTGCTTGGTTGGCCCTGTCCTATTTCTTGGCGTCCTTCTCCGCTAGCTTCTTCTGCTTGAACTTCTCGGAGAAGCTCGCGCGCGGCTTCGGCGCCCTGCCTGCGAGCTTCGCCTTGGCCGCGCCTCTGCTGAGTTGCTCGAGCGAGGTCTCGCCGCCAGCCTTGCCTCCCTCGCGCTGCCACTTGCGAGCGTGCATGCCCAGGAACTGGCCCGCGAACTTGGGCGCCCACTTGTTCTTGCGCTTATTTGTTCGTTTCAGCTTGTTCCTGTTCTCGAGGGCGCGCGGGAAACCGATGTTCTTGATCCGCTTCTTTGGCGGTTGAAGCATGTCCTTCTGCTCGTCGGCGAGCTCGAGGTCCAACTCTTGGGGCCCCAGGAGGCAGGGGGTCTCGCCCTCCTCATAGTCCCTCGGCAAGTCGTCGTTGTGGAAGCAGTCGCCGCCGAGGGCGCCCCACTCGGGCTCTAGCGGCGCGACCTCGGGCCAGCCCTGGACGCTCTCGAGGACTTTATTCGCCAGGTTTTTGTCGATGCCGCCGCCGGCCTCGGTGGAGTAGTTCCGCTGCTCCATGCCCGTAACGACCTTGAGCTCGCGCCCCTCGGAGCGGCGCCGCGTCTTTGTTCTGATCGCGGAAGCGGGTGTAGGCCTCGGGGATGCAGTAGAGGCACCCGCAGGGCCCCCATTGTGTCGGGGACTTGCGCTCCTTCTGGGGCTCGGCCTTGGCCTTCTGGAACCAGTTTTGCTCCATGGCCCAGTGCAGCTCGGCCTTGACCTCTCGGGTCTTGGCCTTGAGCTGGCTGTGCTCGCGGGCGTCGGGGTCTCGCAAGAAGCCCGTGGCGTCGGGGGCCATGGGCGCGTCGATGACATTCTTGAGCCACGCTCGCAACGTCAATGCCTCGGCCCACTCGCTCGAGTGACAGTCTGCGAACGCGAGGCTCTGGCCGTGCTCCTTCTCGATGAAGTCGATGGTCCAGTTGGTCCGTCCAGGCTCTCGGCTGCCCCCGCGCCTCGATGGCCTCGGAGACCCTCGCGCGTTCCGCTTCGGAGAACTCAAGCAGAGCAATGCGCCAGCCCTTGAGCGGTGCTCCTAGGGGCTCGCCTGCTCGGAAGCGCTCCGTCTCGCTATCGCTGCGCTCGTAGGTGACGTCTCGCCGCCAGGTGCCCTCCTCGAGGTTCATGTCGCTGACTCGGCAGTGCCTTGCGCAGGGGAGAAGGGGCACGCTGCGCTGCTTGGCGGACCTCGGCCCCTGCTCGGGTCGAACCAGTTCTCGACCGCGGATACGCTGATCAGGGTGATCCTGTGCTTGTCTCCTGCGCTCGAGCAGGCCTGCTCCACTTGCTCCTTGTGGTCGGGGTGGTCTGCCAAGTACTTGGCCTTCCCCGTCTCGAAGGCTGCCTTGCCCTGCTCGTTGCACGTCTCGCGGGGCTTCTCGGGGGGGTTCGCGATGGGTTTCTTGGCGCCCGTGGCGTGCACCTCTTGGGCGCTTGAAATGCGCGCATAACGAATGGGCGCAACGCACCGCATCAATTGTTGTACCGACCGACAGCGGCCGCTGTCGGGCAGGCGGCCTTTTGCTTCGAATGGGCGCAGGCCGCGGCGACGCCGACGTCGAGCCCCGTTCGAAATGAACAGGAACTG